CTTGTGTGTCGGTTCAAGTGGAGTGTTCCTGTGAGCCACTGATTGTTCTTATAGAAATGTGGGTTTGCATTGATAGAACTGTTCATTTTGTTCTACAAATACTGTATTACAGTAATAATAGATATAAAGTCTTTTTTTTTTTCATGGGGTAAGACTGACTCCACTTGGTTTTTTTGGCTAGGTTTATTGCATTAAATTTCCATCTTCTACTACATCTTAGTTTCAGGTCAGTGTCTGCATTATCACAATTTCTATTGAACATTTTTCCTCTTACCTCCCATTGACAAAGCCTGATCTCAGGCAGTTATACAGTTGTAGTTATTCTGACATAGGTGGGCAGTGACTGAGGTTAGTTATTTCTGAAGGAGTGAACACAAGAGGTGTCTCCCTTATTCACCTGAGGATGGAAACAAATACATTCTCCGCAACGTTGAGTTTTATACTTGTTTAAAAAGCCAGACGATGGACAAAGACCACAAATCCAGTAATTCTGGTTAATTTATTTTTTGGCTGTACAAAAAAATGTTTACATCCTGTAGTTAACTTACGCCGTTTGAGGATTCTGATGCACGATCACTTCATCCTCATTTTAATCTGGAGACCAAACGACATGCTTTATAACTGTACGTATTTCCGTAAAAACTGAAGCCGGAGATAATTCGGGTACCCAGAGGAAGGGGAACGTCCGTCGTTTAAACCTCTACAAGGCAACGGCTAGTGAAGAGTATAGGAGACTTAGAAGACGCAGTGTGTCCTATAGTGATGTGGGAAGTGTAACTCTTAAATTGCGGATTTCTCCTTTGTATAGAATTCAGCGTAAGAAAATAACTGACCGGACGAAACATTCCTGAAAGTCTCCTAGGATCACAACCACTTCTAAGTTACGTACATTCCAAAAATACTTTTATCCAAAATACTTAAAATTCTTAACGAAGCTTTTTTCCAATTTAACGAGCAATTTGCATGAAATGCGCAAAAATGAGGGCATTTGGAGGGTCTGTATGCCAGTCAAAGTATTTCAACTCCAATTTTATTCAACGGACTTACATTAAATTTTGTTATGGGGTCTGCAATAAATATTGCCTGTCGAGTATACCGTAACGCGGATGGCCAGAATGTTGCAGGCAACTGACCGTTAAACACCTCGCGACCGAATTCACACAAGGAAGCAACAGAAGTACGGCGCCACGACCGCTGCTATGCAACGTCGCCGTGAACTTTCATCTGCAACAACAGTAACTGTTTTCTGCGCGTTGTCGGAGTGGAGGCTATATAAGGAGATTCCAGGAAAACCAAGGCAGTATTTGAGAGTGTTTGAGTGTGTTTAAATGTTTGTGACAGTGAGAGAATTCTGAAGACTTCGTGCGTGATTAGAGGACTTTATTTATGTGTAATAGTTGGAGTGATTTGAAGCGCTTGTTCCGGTGTTTTAACTGCATTGCCAGGAGAGGACTAGTGTGTATGTGTGCAACAGTGTAACATGAAGTGAGTGTAAATCAGCGATAGCGCTGTAATTTGAGTGTAATTAAGAGAGCTAACGAAAGTGCCAATAAGTCTAATCAATCGAATTAGAACCCGTCAATTTTGTCACGCGTACCATCCTACACGTGTCAATACTTTTATTTTGAACCGGTTCATTATAAACCCTCCATTGCGTAAAGTTATAATAGATCATCAGTGATCTTCACAAATCAATGATCATAAAAGAACTGATAAATATCGTTAAGAACAGATATGTAATTTATTAAGGTGTGCCAATTCAGTTTGTGACCTTGATATTTTAAATAGGCAGATGTCTAATATTTGTTACAGTCCATGGAATTTTTTCATGGCTACTGTGTAACCAGCTTTGCAATAAACACCAAGGCTAATGAAGTACACACAGTTTCAAGAAAGAAATTAGAAAAATATATATGGGTCTACTCTAACCGGATAAGTATCTTCACATTCAGAATTACTGGGGTATTGGACTTTTCCCATCGTCCGGAATTTTAGGGAATATAGGACTCGATGTTTCGGAAACTGGATCTGTTTCCGATCTACTTGTACAACCGGTCAGAACCCTTTAGAATCTACTTGTACAATCGGTCAGAAGCCTTTAGAGTCTGCCTTCACAGTATTCAATAATTTGTAACATCCTAATTTATACAGGTATAAAACTGAGCTGCAGTCACTGAGATATGATTTGTCTTTGCTTGTATACATGTCTTCTGTCCTCACAGCCATACACTTCATCCTCAGGTTCATACATCCTACACCGCTGCCCTTTCTCTTGCCAAATCTTCATCTCCCCACTTCCTTCCTCGTCCACTACTTTGTCTCAAAGCTTTCTCGTATCGTATTCATTTCCTACTACCTTCCCATTCTGTATTCCCCCAACACTCGAACATTCTCGGTCTCAGTTCTTGCGCCCTGAGCAATCTTCACACAGAATCATCCTTTCTTGCTCCTGGAGGAAGTTCAGACACCCCCATATTACGTTTTGTAGAACCAAGGGACTTTACTGTGGCAGCCATTGCAGTGTTACTTATATCTGGTGGGAAGGCCGAGGAAACGCATATTTCTAGTCTTCCAACAAGCATACACAACAGGAACCACTAGCGGCACTATTCACATCGAAAGCAATCACGATTATTTATTTTAAACCTGAAGATGATTCGTAACTCTTGTCTGTGGCCCCCGATAGCTCCACATCATAGTCTATCATCCCTTGGTCACTTCCGCCTTGAATCGCTCTTTCCCTCATTTCGGAACCCCCAGAAAACACTTTCACTTAAAGCTTCTCCCTGTCACGTGCTTTCTCACTGGTACACACTCTCAAAGTACTCTCCCCTAGTCACCTTTTGAATTACACACTTTCTCCCCCTTTCCATTGTGTTCTCTGCTTTTCAGTTGTCTCCCACCGTCCCTCTTCATTCCCATCCATTCTTTCAATCAGCCACTAATTCTCTCCTGATTCACACTTTCTTTCGCCTGTACAGCCTCTTCCTCCCTTACTCAATCCTCAATTTACACTTCCCCTTCTCCCCCCACCCCTGCTTAGCATTCTGTCCATCATTCAGCTGTTCCCTTCGTCGCTTGTCCTCGATTTTGAAGTCCCCCCTTCTCAATGTCTCATTAAATCTATATCTCGCTTGCTAATTATATTTTTCTTTTTTCTTTAGTCATTTCTTTCATTTTATCTGCTGTTCCTCATTCATCATCACAATCACGAGTTCTATCCGCCATTCAATTTCTCGCGACCCCCACCCCAATGTCTTATCGTCACTTTCTCATGTTTCTTCTCAGTAATTCCCTTGCTTATTAAATCTGTTTTTTTTTTTTCAAACTGTCACTCAATTACTCCATCAATTTCAATTTCCTACTTCTCTCTCCTTCTCACACCAACAAAATATTAATAAATAGACGTTTCGGAGGAAAATGTCGTTTCCATCTTCGCTGTGAGAACCTCAAATCCTACACACTTTTTATTCAGTCCACTGTACGTCATAAAAGTAACAATTCTATAAACTAATGTGGAGAAAGTGATTTATACTTACCGTGTGCTTGATTGGCTAGGAGGGATTGAGCCTCAGAAGGGCACAAAGGAATGTACAGCGATGAACGTTTGGTATTTATGTTGTGAATAAAATATAGACATTTATTCATATTTTTTTTGAATGGGGAAAATACAATTAATGCTTTAATAGTGGAAAAATGGTGCAATTCCTGTGGATTTTTTGAGATATTACATACTTATCAATAATATAGTACAATCTGATTCAGAGACGGCCTTGCAGCCTCCAAAGAAGCCTTGATACAAGGGATACAGCCCAGTTTGAAAGCAAATAAAACAATCGTGTTTTTTGAGCAAACAGCAAAATGTTAATTTGAAGGCCGTTTGGTAGCTGCTTCGATAACGCGTCCTACGAACACAGATGGCTGTAGTATCGTGACCGGAAATGCGCTGCCTGTTCCAGCGGATGGCGCCTTGATTATATCCCTTGTTCAAAACTTGTCCGTCATTGAAACCGAGCTTCCTCGCTGAAATACATAATAATTTACCGCCATCTTGGTAATTACTCTAGTTTTTCATGCATCACATTCGAAAGAAATTAAATGAAAAAGTGGAATTATATTATCTGAAAGATTAAGGGAGGAAATTTTTGGGGTTGAATGTCAGCCACCTCAAGGGGGAGGTTAGGGGACGCCATTCTTTTGGATTCTCCCGTGAATAAGCACTAAATAGTCAAATTCTGAGAATTAGAATATATGCCTGTAAGAAAAGGGAATGAAAAACCCATCTGTTCGTAAAAATCAACAATTGATGGCTTCCAGAAATGATTTCATAATCTGTCATGCCGCGCTTGGATTTTATTCGTATTCATTTTGTTTATATTACTGGAAACTAATCAAAATTACTTGTAAATATACGTAAATACAGACTGTTGCAGAATCATGAATTGCCGCCCATCCATGTCTTTGAGGAAACATGCCTAAATCCGTAACTAAGTAAGTCACACAGTCTTAATCGGAATTTATTATTGTGTGTCAGCTCGCGCCGCCATTTTGTAGCGCCTCCTGTACCTGCTTTGTGGGTCTGTGTAATGGCCGCAGTCAAGTTCGGGGTAGGGTAAGGTGAGGTTTGCTGAGGCAGATTGAGGCGACTGACCCGATAATACACTACATACATACATACACACACTGCACTCACTTCACAATTACACCGAGATAAAAAAGGGCAAAAGAGCAAAAATATCGGTCCGTCAGTCTGTTTGTCTTTCTGATCGACAGAGCGCGCACGGCTGGCAACTGAAATGTTGTTCAAGTTACCTTAAGAAATTGGAACTACCCTGACACAGGTTCCGACTGGATAGTAGCCCACAGTTACGCGTATTTTAAAATAGGCCAACAAAATCAACAATTTCATGTCTTCGCAATGATTATGATTGTGGAGGAGCACCCATCAAAACTCACACATACACATACACATGCATGCGCCCATTCGCGACTATCCCTTATTTTTTTTTGTTTTGGAAGTGATACGTAAGCAACCTCGTAATATTTGGCGACAACAACAAAGAATGTACAGTATTTACTAAAAACTGATAATAGTCCCAGTATTCACGGGTCTGTCTCAAAATGAAAACAGCAGACACTATTTTCACATGCATCGTTCTCAGCGCAGGCGGGTTCGACACTTCTTTCCTGCCAGCAAAGAAAGCACTGCAGAATTAGTTCAAAATGGCGAGCACCCTTTGCATGTTGTCAACGGTTTTATAACAATATGAAACCAACACAGTGCATGAAGTATCAGTAGAGTCCTTACGTTCACTTTTCTGATATATATATAACATCTCCTGGAATCGGTCTCGACTTCCTTCTCCAATATGGGAATTAATAAAGATATATTTATATATGCATGTATCCTGCAGTAAGGTTACCATGGGGACCTGCGATCACTTTGTGACTCCTTAATCACGCGTCACGGAAATCCTCTTCCTTCCTTAAACTCGTATGTACAAAGAAAAAAATTAATTACACGTGTCAATGTGGCAGATAAATATCCTGAGTTTATCTCATCCTGACGCGCTCACGGGAACTTCCTCAGCTCTCGAATATGTCAACGCGGTCTTCTAATTCAACGTCTCGGAACTGTGACGACGCGTCTTACACCCCGGGAGATTGAGACCCTCCGTCGTGGTACCTGACCACGTGATCAGAACACACAGCTTACGCGATAGTGACGCAGTCCGTTTCGGAGTGAAACTTTGAGTCGTCCACATGATGACGGGAAGAACACATGGGCTATGCTCTTTCTGTGGATGTCAGTTCGGTGACATTTTACAAAATGACAAGTCTAGGCACAATTTTCAGCAAACTATGATTTTCTTCCGATATACCTTTCAAGGAAATGCCCTTAGTGCAAATCACTGCATGCGCTTTTCGGCTTATTTTGAAAAAGAAAATTATATACGTTTTCTCGGAAATACTTGGACCCATTCCTGTACTATGGTTCAGTGCTGCGCATCTACATATTTCAGTTCTGAAATTAAAAATATTGGGCTAGAGGTTCTCGTTTCGAATTTTTGCCGACACACCAGATATTCTGACTGACGTGTTCGTAGCATTTCTCAGTCTCCACATAAATGTTAAGACTGTACCTCCATTACGTCATGACATCTCCCTTCCACATCCCTTCCAGTTCATCATCCTACGATATGACTCTGCATAGCCTCGTTAAAGAAAACCTCCCAAATAAGGAGAAAAGTTGGATAAATGTGTTCGAAATATCTACCGAAATAAATTCTGTCGTTGACGTTAATTTACAGTGCATAAATTCATAGTTTTTCGCAACGAAATTTCGAAGGCTAACACATACATGTCTGCGCATGCGTAAGGTAGTATTGTGAGTAGCATTACTTCTTGCACTTCATTTGTAAGGGGTGATCTCCCTTCCGCGAGGGGCCGAAAAGCGTATTGTTAAGCGTATCGACGACATTTTACATGTCATTTTCATTTTCAAAGACATCACGAATCCTGGGTAGCTCCTTTAACGATTTAATTAATCAGTTCTCAAATAACATGAACAGATTCACAATGCCCTATATCATACTGCTCAGATATTCAGGCATTCAAGCAGAAGCAACCTTATGTGTCTCTTGTCGTACTGAGTTTCATTCTCTTCTGAAACCGTCCGAATAAGTGAGCTACAAATATGCTACTTTCACTCCCAGTAACTCCAGCAGTTTAACACAGATCTTCAAAATTGAATTCCTTACGCTGTTTGGTGCGTGAGTCTGAACTCCCGTGAGGATATCATTGTGAAATCCAGGTCACTATTTACACTTTACACAGTTCTCATTTACCTCAATATTCCGACCACAAACACTATATGTAGAGATACTGATAAAAGTATATAACTGAACGGGTTCGCTATCAGGTAGAAAAGGGGCGAGGCTTCCTACACTCGATGTTTTATATATCTGAATATAAAGAAGTGGGTAGAGTGGAGTGGAGCGTCACTCTATGTAATCACGTCACTTATCTTGTCGCCATGACCAGTAGCGGCAACATGACGAACCACAGCATCACGTCGATACCGGAACCGGAAGACGTCTTTCTCCTCAGAATAGCAGCCATCTTGTCACCTGAAATAACAGAAGTAACAAAAACAGAGGGAAACAAAAACAGCTGAGACAGAAACCTGAAAGATAAAGCATCCACGTTTCCTTCACTGAACACTTAGGGCGAGGGCACACCAAGGAAACTGGCAACTGTAACGAAACCATAATCGCCAGTTTCAAGAAGGCAATTAGTTTCCTGCTTAGCAGGCGCACACTGAGGAAACTTATATTTGAGTAGATGCTCATGTCATCTTAAGCGGGTATGCTCATCCGACGTAATGCATGGTTGTATTTTTTAATTTCATGCGCTTACATTCGCCAAAGGAAGATAATAATACTGATCCAGTCATAATATGGCGGTAGTTGAGACCTGCTGAGACAGCGCGAGAAGAGACGACGACGACCGTAGGGAAAATATTGCGATGTTAATTAATTTCTTTTAATTACGGTCAATTTATTTTAATCATTAAATATCGCGTTCACAAGCGATACGAATTTTTTACATATAGTGCAAAAATTTTAGCAAGACAGAAGCCACCTGATGATGGCCGTTTACAGCCGAACCATGTAATGTGAAAGAAAGGTGACTATATAATAAATTGTATTTTAGAAATATGTGTGATATGTTAATGCGACAGGATGCTTAAATACAATATTATGAAAAGAAAACATTGGGTGCATCCGTTCTCCTGTGACCATTTAAACTGAGGCGCTTGTATTGTTTCGAAAGAACTTAACCGGGATCCACTCTCCTTCGTCTCACGAGAAATTCTTTCCCAAGCCAAATCTACCAGGCTCTTGCTCAATTAATGCGTTAGCGGCTTCGTCAAGCTTTCGTGCCATCGAAAGAAACAAATGAATCACTGAAGAGAGTTACAGAACAGCTGACACTAGGAAACCACGTGGCAAAGCAATCGTGAGAAGACTGTCACGCTCCGTTGCCTGGAAGTTGAGTTTCTGAGTCTTTCAGCGAGTTTCATTGCCGTTTCCTCAATTTTCGCTGCTCCATTCAGTAACACATGTTCAACTCAGGCTGATAACAATTGTCGGAAATTACAGCTGCGTTGCGGTTGCCAGTTTCCTTGGTGTACCCTCGCTCTTACATTACCTACTACAGTGCAACTGACACTAAGATGGGGCGGATTCTTCATGTTCGCATAATCGAACATGAATGGAATAGCATAATGAACTAATTTATGTACACATATAATTATGCTACATGAAATATTTCTTTGTGTTTTTTGTAAAAAGAATATGTTTCTTTGTTTTCAGGCACATTAATAATGTCACAATCAATATTCTGGACAAACAACTTTTAAATAATCGACTTTTGTTTGTATGCATATAAGAATATACAAATAATTTAAAACAGGGGATGTCTGTCTGTCCCACCCAGCGTCTCATAAGAAATGCAGTGAAGAATAATTAAAATATGCACTGTGTCAGTGAAATGAACATGAGATTTTAGAGGTCAGTTGTTTCGTAACGCTGCTTGAATAAGGAACAGAACGAATCGGTGGGTGCGTCCACCAGCGCTTCAGCGCGAAGCCTATTAGCTGCTGCGTCCCTGTCTATTATTAAAGCATTGTTCCAATTGTTACCACACCCGAATATGTCAACAGATTCTCTGATTCTTGGCTTCAGTGTCGACGTTGTGTAATTTAGTGAGACTTTTATATTTCCTGTGTTATAAATCCGTTGCTAGGGAACGGACAGTGAAGACCAGTGGGAAACAAACTGAGAAGATTAGTGTGGAGTAATTGTAAATTGTGAAAATCAGCAGTAGTGTTATAATTATATGTAGTTACGGCCTGTAGGTGGTTAATAAATCCAATTATCAATCCTAACCCCGTATTTAGTGACTAATAGACGTGATAATATGAAGAACTATCATGGAATCGGCCCTGAAGGCTGTTAAGACCTTATCTAGGCAGCTATGTTGTATGCGCTGGCCGCCATATTAGTCAGCGAGACGCACGCAGCTAATCCTGTGTAAATTCCTGTTTCATACAATTTATCACTCTTTTAGGGCGAGGTGGAAGATCGATGCGGAATACAAATTAGGTGTACAGTAGCACAGTATTCTGATTTCGAAATGTAAAGGGAATGGGGGAATTTATAATTGGTCATTAAACACATATTCAGAGTGACCTTCACGAAGCCACGCGTGAGGGTCACTTCACGTGTTATAACAGATATCAATTTACTGAGGTTTGGGGCTCTCACGAACGTGACAATGAAGATTACTATCTTCTGGTCTAGCGGCTTATATACTGATAGATATTTCGGACGAACTTACTGCCTCCATCTTCATGATCAAAAATTAAACTTTGCATAATGATTCTTTGGCCTCCTCTTCGACCTGAAAATGAAGGCAGTACATTCACCTGTAACTTCACTGAAATTCTACCAGGCTGCACGGCTTCAAATCCCAGAAGGCAGTAGGCTTACTGTCTACATTATTTGCGTCCATGCCCGGTGGGAAGCCATAGCGGAGAGATAAACCCCGGACGGAAATGTCTGTAAGCAACACGCAAAGAGCGTTCAGTATTCTGATACCGAACTGAAAGTTGGCCTTTGCTTGTGGCAGAAAAGTTTGGACGGGATTCCACTCCGGTATGTACATCGACACTGTCAATACAAATGAAAAACTGTCAGCATTTCTGTCGGACAAGCATATCTATATTGGCAGGAGCATTATAATACATAAGTAGGAATATTATAACACCAAAGGTGGGCCGCGATGCCTCAATCAACACGACGACAATGCTACAGGCTGGACGACCGATGAATCTAATTTCTCTTCTCCATAACGTCCAGACCGACCCTGGAGCCCACCCAGTCTCCTTTATAACGGGCACCGGTGGCTGTTTACCTGAGAGAAAAGCGGCCGGGACGTGAAGCTGATCACTTACCTTCATCCAGCCCGTATCGAGAAGCTACACTGACTGCGCTAACTCGGCTCCAAAGCTAGGCTGATTTTTTTTTTCAGTGGCTCTTCCAGCCCATCCGGGGCCTAGGCCTATTATTCAGAGCAGTTATCATATTTTACAGACGGCAGGACTCCTTGGACGGGTGATCAGCCCGTCGCAAGGCATCTACCCAAACACAGGACAACACAAACACAGAATAAACACATACACACACCAAACATCCATGACTCGAGTGGGACTCCAACCCACAATCCCAGCGTCTGCGCGAGCGAAGACAGTTCATGCCATAGACCGTGCGGCTACCGTGACTGGCAAAGCTAGACTGATTATTAACATAAAATACTATGTTTCTGTTGTTTGAACAACCTCATTCTTAGGTATAGAAATATCTTTTTATCATGCGATACTTTTAATGTAATATGTAATGAGTGTGTTATCACTCAAAAATTACAACTAATTGGCAAATTAATTTATTTGCTTTGTACTGCTAGAATATAACCCCATTTTTACATTAAATGTTAATCTAAATATATCGAATTCCTAGAGAATGTTTTATCGTGAATGTGGAGCGAGTGTGACATACAACATAAATCTCGCTGAATTATGACCCACTTATCTGAAATACACGTATGTGAATATGGCTATGGAGAATACAGGAAATAAAAGGCAAAATAATAAGTAGTTCCATGCTGTATGATATTTCTACTGCAGAACAGAAATTTTATCAGGAACATGTGAACGCATGGTCAGTGAAGTACACGCAGTAAGAAAGAGCACATCTGAGACGAAATTTGTACTCAAATGGAGCACACCTTTCCCGACACATTTACGAGTATGTTACTATTTTTCTCCTACTTATTTATCCTAACTGTGGAACCTTTAGAACTTGATCAGAGTGTCTAGTCGAATGACTGTCTGCAAACGTAGAATCCTGACTGATGTTTTCTGCAAGAAATTCAGTGCCACCCACCATCAATTAGGCCACGACTGGTTTCCATCAAACCCTTTCCAATTTATTATTCACTAGCATCCAAAAATTAGGTACTATGTAGTTAGAAGGCGTAGTTAAATAAACTAAAAAATACTTTAAATGACTTTTTAAATTACAAATTAAATGTCTGGAATTTATGCACCGCCCTGCATTCTAAAGAACGTAATGTTTGGAAGCGGATCTGTTTCCGAGACGTTGTGTTCTTTGCGATATCCGATGGTGAACAGAATCTGGGAATTCAGCAATCCCGAGGGTTTTTATTAACATTAATTTATTTAATTGTAATTGTAATTGTTTTTATTGTATTTATAAATCTTATCTGCATTGTATTCATTTTGCGTAGTGCGTCTTTTATTGTTTGCATAATTTTGTGTGATGTGTTTTGTTTGAGTGTGGTGTGTTATTTTGTGTGATGCGTGTTATTTGTGTGTTGTGTCTAATTGTAATACCACTGCCACCGGGTAAAAACCCAACCCATTTAGAATTTTAACATAAAGGAATAATAAAAATAATAATAATAAACAGAACCCTCTAGAAACTAAAAAAATACATGAATAAATAGAACACAAATCTGAATTTCTAAAGGTCTACATTGATCACAAACGTACGTAAGCGTGAAAAGGAAGGACCGCGCAGTGTATGAATTCCGGCCCAGCCTATACTCGTACTTCCGGTGTAGACACATTTGTTTCCTTCATCACATCGCCCATAACCGCAAGCTTCTTCTTTATGTGACATATAACATATGAGGTCAGACGCGTTACTCTTTACTGCTTTCTTACGGAGAGGCTCACCAACTGGACTTGAATTTACTCACAGCCTCGCGTCTCAGAAAGACGTAACATTACTCACCACGGAGCTCAATTTGAATTTACTCCTACGTCCGAGGTGGAGAGGGGATGGTACACTCCACGGCAGATTTCTTGGAAATTATAATCTTGCTGAAAGCATATGGAAAGACGGAAAGACGAAGCAACTGGAGAAATTTATAATTGATGAGATGTCTGTATTGGAGATTGAAAGGACTTGAACAAAAAATCATAATAGACACTGCAATATGTACAAAAATTTAATAAACATTTCCTATACATGTTACGTGT